AATTTTATATATTATATAAATATTTTATATATTATAAGTGTATTTCTTTGATATCCTTTATTCAGTAAAATAAGTAATGCTTTATTCATTTGTATATATTTCCTGGTTGGAGAGGTAGTTGCAAAGAGCACCTGCAGTTATGTACTCTTCACTAGCGTGTCATCCACCCCTCAAACTTGTTCATCTATCCTTTTATGCTTAAACTTAATACTCTGTTTTTGTGCCATGACGCTGTCTTTTGTGTTTATACTCCGGGGTTCTCAGAAACATGGTATAGCGATTCTTTTTACTGCTGCAGGTTTTTTTGAAATCACTTGTTCATAGAAAAATGCATGACTTATTTTCATGACCTTAATATCTGTGTAACTTAATGATTAATCAAACACATTTTAGTTCAGTTTCCACTTCTTATTCAATTCCTGTGCAGAATTTCATTACTATTTGTATCTGCAGAATACTTAGCTATCTGTCATAGTGGCTTTTTGTAAGCCTTTACCTTTACTGTGTTCGTATGCTATACTACATCATATGCAAAAGCTTGGTTGTGTACATTTGGGATAATAATACAGAAGTTTGAGAAATCATATAAATTCCTAATTTACTTGAAAATAAGCTAGTTCTTTGGATTAGCATTGCAAAAATAGGAAAATCCCAAGCTAGGAAATGCTAAAATTAGACTTGTTTGTGCAGTCTTTGTTCAGTTTGCTTTAGTTATATATATGATGTACATTCTTTGTTCATGAACTCTTCCCCTCAGGACTTGCATCACATTCAGCAAGAATCATACTTCTGTGAGCTGTTGTCCAATATTTTGTTCAGTATGTGACTTTATATCTTAGTCATTGCATAGTCTTCTAACCTCACGTTGAAAACAAATTATTATTTTCTTCTGAGGTCATCACAGTACCCATGGACAGTATTCAACTGCTCTAATCACAAAAGTCTTTCTTTACTCTTGCGAACCATTGGCTTATTTGACTCTTCAAACTTCTGCAACAAGTAAAGGTTCTAGAGAAAACAGTACTCCTCTACAGTGATTCCCGTTCGTTGTGTGGATATGACCTTTGTTCCCAATACAGCAGAAATCCTCTGGAAACAGAAAATGTAGTTGTGTGATTACAACTATTTCTGGAATGTGTATGTTAAAAGGCTGAAGATGATAAGCTGCTTGAAGACTGTAACGTGTCCAGCTTAATGTGCTTTTAACAGTTCTGGTTGTACTTCCTTAGGTTTTCAAAGCAAACTGAGAGTGAAGCGAATTCCAACCCTCTTTGAGATCCTATTTAAGAGTCTCTGTTACTTGAGCTGCTTTAATAACAAATGGTCAAGATTTTGTGGATGACCTTCAGAGGCAGAGAGAGACTCTGTTAGACTTTACCGGTGTATGATGACAAAAGAGAAAAAGCAACATTTTCCTAGAATCTTTGACTCTGTTACTGATCACAAGGAAGAATGCATTATTTGTCAGAAATTTTTAGGTCATTTTTCCTCCATCTTTACTACTCCTGCCCGTTTGTTTGATTGCTCTCTCTTCCCCAGTTGTTCCCCACCAGAGGCGACAGCTCTTCATCTCAGCATTCATTTTCCATCTTGCTGGTTTCCGTTTCCTAATTCAGTTAGACCCCCTTTCCTCTCTCTCCCACTTTCTCATACGTCTTCATATTTAACCATTGAGGTCCTCATCTTCTATCTGTTCTTTCTCATGATTTCTTGGGTTTTTTTGGTTCCATCTTCTGTTTTCTTCTGACTTCTAGTCCTAGGTTATTAATTCCATCCTAGGCTTCTCGTAGCTTTCCCTTCCTTTCTAGGGCAACTGTTTTCATGTCTGCACTGAGATACCCAGCCTCTTGGACCTAAAAAGCGAAGAGAGAGTTATCAAGACCAGAGAAGATAGATCTGTGCTGTGTGCTTCTCATGGAATTGCAGTCCTCACAATATGTTCCAAGGCTCAAGGAACTGCACAGAATTTACTACCTATTTAATCAGATGTACCAGCTACTTTGCCTTATATGGATGCAGCGATTCATAGTTAAACGTTTATATGACACTGCTGAGAACCATGTTTCCCTGCGTACCCATTGACCAGAAGACATGTTTACGAACGAAGTCTGCTGGCTGCCGTTATGTTATTCTACTTCTGTGCTGGCTGGCTCAGACAAGTGGAGTCTGTCCCCTTCCACGCCAAAATAAGTTTGGAACACAGGGATCTTAATCTGTAACTGTGGTCTTTCTTCTAAATTTACTTTTAAATTTACTTTTTTCCACGTACTCCAAAAATTTCTTTAGGAGTTCCTTTGTAATTGCATGAAAAACTGCATAAAATATTTTCAAAGGGAAGTGCTGACTCTACTGTGATCTATTATGATCCTTTAAGATCTATTAAGAACATTACCAGTCTTTCCAATATTATGCTTGTATGAAGGCTGTGTGACATATTTATGAGCATATTTGCAAGAGCTCTGACCAGTCATCTGTGCTCACTGTGAGCTACATGTGATTAAAATGTCGTCTTTTAAGTATCTTTCTGTGTCAAGAGACCATACCAACTTCCTCATCTTTAATCTTTCTCTAAGCTTTTCTTAATGTGATATGCCCCACCTTGGCCAATCTAAGCTGAGTAAGAGTAAGCTACTCTTACTCTAACTGGGTCTACCAGTTTTTATGCTGCTTTGTGAATAGTTTTTTTTAAACCAACAAGCACATTGCCTTGAATAAAACCGGTTTTCTGATTCAGCTCTGATGCTGTCACCATAATTTGTGCCATCATTCATTTCTCCAGCAAGTGAATGACATCAGTGTGTTCTGGTCGTTGAAATATGAGTGTAATCTACATGTTCTATGTTTCTCTTACATTTGTGAACTAAAAAGCAAGTAATAGCAAAGCAAGATATGTATAAGGCATAGGGATGTTTTGATAACTACGGAGAATTTGTTTTAATAGCTTATTTCAAAGACCATCTACCAGCTTTGGAGCTATTTCACTTCTCAAAGCAAATGTTTTAAAAATGTCCTAAATTAAAAATAAAACCTTGCAAATCAGGATTTAAAATAACTCAGAAGATTTTGCGTGGTTCGTGGATCAGACATCAGGCTGAATCAGTTTACGGAAAGAGGTAGATTAAAATGTCTTAGTGGTTCAGGGATGTGCTCCCCTTCTAATTGCTGTTTATTACTGGAAGCAAATAAAATATGCTATGGCGTACAGACAGGCGCCCCCCCCCCCCCCCCCCCCACACACACACCCCTTTTAGAATAGTGCTGCACACTGAAATGGAGCTCAGCTGGTAAAGACTCTGCCCACTAATTCCAGAGGATTATGCTGTGCTCTAATTAATTTTTAAACTCTTGTATGAATGTTAAATGAGCTAAAAGAGAAGTGCTGTGAAGGAAACGTTAAAGCTCTGCTGAAATGCTTGCTCAATGTTTTTGGATTACAAAAAGGCTCAAATGTTACATTAGAACCATTACTGTGCAGAAACTTAAAACTGACAGAAGTTACTCAAGGCCCATTCAGTTTCTGGAGACACACAGGTAGATTGGGAACGTCTGTTCTGACATTTCTTGACTGTTGTGTCCCCTTTTCAGCCAATAGTGATGTTATGAAGAAGCTGAAACACTTAGGGTCACTTCTGTAGAAGTTTATGATGGTCTAAGTTGAGGCTGCTGCAGTGGCTCGCTATCCCTTGTGCCAGTAGCTGTGTCACTTGGACAGGGCGATGCCCCTCCAGTTGAAAGTCAATCGCTTCCTTTCACTGGGCAGCTGGTTTGCTGGATCAGCTCCTCGAACGGTTTCCTGCTTAGTTGCGTGAAGGCCAAAGGCAGGACAAATGGCTGAGGCTGAGCATGTGCAGCTGCAGCGAAGACAAGACCGCCTTTCCTTAGCTCAGCTCCAAATGCCACAGACCCTCCTTAAACAGGCCAAGGTAACAGAAGTTCAAGGTAGCCTATTTAGAAATAGTCTTTTGCTCATTCTTCCAAAGAAGCCATTACCAACTCGCTGGGTTTCAAAGTGACATAATCGATTAGAATTTTCCAAATCAAGTATGATTACAAGATCCTGGAAATGAAAATAAATGTGCTTTAGCTGAAATGAATGAAATCTGCTTTTGATTGGATAGTTTTAATTGGATGAAAGTGTCATTCCTTTTGGACAGTGCTTCAGGAAAATGCTGAAAGAGACAAACAGATGTTGG